ATGTGCTGCTACCTGTGCGTAATTCACTAGAAACAGAACGGCAGTATGAATTTTTATTTATTTTCGTTCCGTAAATCCAAGGCGATTTAGATCGTCCAGACCGCCACACCATACAATGTTATTGTGATTTGTGATCGACTATGATACATTAAAAATTCCAGTGCTGGGAAAGAAACCTGTGACATCCCTGCTGTAGAAGTTCACGCTCACCATGTTGGTATGATTGATTAAGGACAATGAAGGTGGCGAACTGGGAACGTATTGGAATGCCATCTGTCATACTAAACTTTTACATAGACTCTTGCAAAAGAGGATTGTAGATAGACGTTTATTAGTAAATTTCGTAGGCACGATTTCACGCCCTGTCATATGTCCGCATGTGGTAGTGTTGCAAGAAATATATCCGTTCTGCCCTTCCATCAGCAAAACTCTAGGAGTTGTCATAAACTTTGCTCAAAACATACGATATCTGGAACGTAATTTTTATATATTTAACAATTCTAGTATATGAAGTGCGTTAATTTCCGTATTTATCTGTGTACGTTACCGTTCGCTGCTACTGCTCTACTGAGGCTACTGAGTATAACCGTCAGTTGTGATCTGTGATCCATGTGTTGAAGCTAGGGGTGTGTAGTGTCGAAGTCAGTGTTCATAACGCACCTCAGCCTGGCATTATTCTGACCATTTTGACAGATGCAGTCTTAGGGGCAAAATTTGAGTACTGCAGAAATGTTTATTTGTTACTGAAAATTTCTAAGGTCATTAAAGGCTTGAAAATGTCTGTAGTGTTTTGTTGCTTAAAAAACTGTTTTGATGGGATTGGTTTATCGCAAAATAATATACAGCGGAGAGAAGTAAATCCCATAGTACTTGATACTGGTCACATGGGTAAGTTTGAAACTTGTAGTGTGCAAATAAATCCGCCTGTTTAGATATTCTGAATTGTGGTATCATATATCTTTTGGTTCATTACATATATTTATGAGCATGTTTACTTTTCAGGTCATGAAGTAGTGATAGTAAAAAATGGACAGAGAATATGCGGTAGTGGTGGTGCTTTGGCCAGTGCGCCTTTAGTGCAAAGTAAATCTTACTTTGAAATTAAAATACAACAGTCAGGTAAGTGATAATTATTTGAATTTGTTTCATATATGATTTTGATAAACATGCTGAGATTTGAGGTTCTCATGTTGCTAATATTAAGATTCAGGTCTGCTGTGTGGCACTCTCTAGTATACCAGATTGGTGTTGTATCACAGAAGATCACACTGTTAATTACTAACATGTTTTTTTCAAATTTTATAGGTGTTTGGGGTGTTGGTTTAGCAACACGAAATACAGACCTCAATCGATCACCAGGTGGACATGATGCTGAATCATGGGTTCTGTGTTGGGATGGGGTGCTCAGGCATAATAATACAGAACTTCAGAAAATACAAGATTCTGCTCAGGAGGGAGATATTTTGGTAAGAATTATACAGTTAATCTTTAAATATGCATCCACTTCATTTGCAAGTACTGTCACGCTATTATGAAGTTAGATAGGCTGTAGTTATTGAGTTGTAACAGTTGATGTTGTCATATGAATAGATAGGCAAGTTGTAGTGGTTGGTTGAGGCTTATAGAGTCCTCCAATGGTTCTTCTTAAATTGGTACAGTTTGGTTATCAGATCATTTACCATTAATTATTCCATGTCTAAAAAACTGGAGCATGGTGATTCTGTTAATGAAAACTGTGTATCTTTAGAGTGTTTGTTACTTGCAGGACTGTTTTACACAATACAGTCAACTCTCGATTATCCGGGATAATGGTGGGGATGGAAATCACGATTAATCGAAAACCCGGTTAAGACAGATTTTATTAAAAGTAGTACTGTAATACTGTACCTTCATAATACTATAGGCCTGCTTGTATTTAAATTTATTCAACCTCATTTTTATGTCATCTCATGGCCTATTTAATACTTTTTTTACGTTACACTGAAGTATGAATTAGTTATTTCAATCACAGTGTTCAACAACATCCAACACTTTTTACGAATATTAACACTTAAAAAAATTTAATATTGTCGTTTACTTTTTCGCTGCATTTTCCTTTTTCTGTTGAATACTTAACACAACACGCTTCCTTTTACACCCTGACATTTTGCTAACATACTTGAAGATCGATACAAAGATACTTACTGGGGAGATGTATCTGTCCTTGAAACTTTCCACAAATCCTTGCATTCTTTCACCCCTACCCTAGAACATTGTGTTAGCATAATGGGACCAAAGAATGCAGAGCTCAGTTCACACTAGTGCGAAAATAGTGTTACTATTTTCCTAGGCTGGCTGGTGGCACCCCTCACTTAATGCTAGTAAAACAGCCAGTAGGAGTGGAAGAGTGGGGTATAGTAGGGTGAGCATAAGAAGGCATGACAGAATGGAGGACAGTTCATGAGAATCCTTTGCGTGACAACAGGTACAAATTATAGAATTAAATTAAGAAGATTCTGTTATTGAAACTTATTAAATATACAGCATTTAGAGAAAATTTTATTTACTGTGTTGCAAGCATCTGGGCTTTTTTCCCCTTGAAAATTTTAATTTCAAAATTATTGTTTTTATACATTTTATCAAAAAGGGGAAATTAGCTTTATAGAGGGGGTGAAAGGTTCTTTTGAACATGAAATTTGGAGTTACATTTACAGGAATTGGCTTGGAAAAAAAGTGTTTTTGTGTTGTCATGGAAATAGGATTCTTTAGAATGAATCAACGAAGCAACAGATTAACTTGTTAACAAAATCTTCCTCTTTCCTTTTTGTTGCTAATGAAAAAGGATATGGTCCTAGAATTTAATTTTGTTTAAATAAAATAATGTATGAAAATATTTGTTTGGTAGAGGGAATGATGTTAAAATTGGTAAAACAGTTTATTATAGTGTGAAGAAGTGTCTAGTCTCATTCATTGCGATTACAGCAAAAATATTGGTCTTACGGAGAAAACTGTCTTCTCTTGATTTTCAGAATTTTTCCATTTTTTTCTCAATTTTGCCTTAAACTGGAAAGATATGCTCACACATGGCTATCAATTATGATACTGAACAAAATAGTGCGGTTAATAATGGCTGAAGTTTTGGAAAATTTTTAAAATTGTTACTTATCCTAATCACTCATGTGAATGTTATGCAATTAATACTTACGTACTACCATACTGCACATTTGTATTAATTTCTTGTAGGGAGTCTCATATGACCATATTGAGCTAAATTTTTATATCAATGGGAAACCTGTGGATAGTCCAGTGAGCGGCATCAGGGGCAATGTATATCCTGCTTTGTATGGTAAGTAATTAGCTGATTATGGTTTATTAAATGTATCTTTATTAGAATACATTTATGTGAATATTATTTTTGTGCTGTAGCTGAATTCAGGCCTGTCCGACCACTGTTGTAGAAGCCCAGGAAAAATTGTGTGTTGTTTTATTTCAGTGGATGATGGAGCTATACTGGACATTGTCCTTGACAACTTCCATCATTCTCCTCCAGGAGGTTTTGATAAGATCATGCTAGAGCAGAGCCTTCTGTAACATAGTGCTGATCTGCAGATTTAGACTTAAATGCCATCACCATTTGTTCCCTCCATACCACAAGAAAGAGAAGTCCATCTGTTAATATGGTAACATAAGCTGCTCTCATTTTCAGATTTTCCCAGGATTTTCTAGAAACATTTTTCTCTCTGCTTTACAGAAAATTATCCCGGCCTGTCCTTATTTTGTATGTCGTGCTGCTAGAATGATTAAATTAAAAGTATGTAAATAAGAATTTGAAAATTCTGGGACATTAATTCACACTGGATGATGGAAGAAGTCCAAAAACCCAGTAATTCTGTGTATTAATTCACGGTGTATTCTTACACTGAAAGAAGCCCCAATTGAACTTGGTACAAAATTTAAAGTATTAATACAGGTCTCATATTTGTTATATGTGATTCAAGAGAAAGTTGGTCCTTATTCAGAAAACACATATTTGATTCAGAATTAATTATTTAACCAAAAGAGTACTGTTCAAGGGTTCTTATGATTGGTGTTTTAGCCCATGTGTTTTAAGCAATAATATTGTTGCAGTTTGAGAACAGCTTGTGAACAGTGCCTAAGTAATTATGGAACTGTCTGTAATTTGTTCTACACGTTATACTGACAAGCAGTTCTTTAGACCATATCAGCGAAGAAGTTAACCAGTCTTGCTGGGGAGGTTAGAACTTATCTAAATATAGACATGATAGACTGCAAAGATAAAGGGCATTTCCCAGTGGAGTTTTAGATCTGGATTTGAGAGTCTTACACTTGTGACTTTGAACACGTATTGCTGTGTAGTCTGGTAGAAGTTCACCGACATTTGGAGGAATATATTACATCCATCTTCAGGATCAAAGAAGCAAGTAACCAGCAAGAAGCAACCAGCTGCACTTCCCATGGCCACCTGCTGGTTACTTGCTTGGCTTACTTTTCAACCCTAAATATAGAGGCAATACCTTCCTCCAAAATATCAGCGGACTTCAGTGGACTACTGTCTTCACATCCTAGAAGACATTGATCTTAATATATTCATATTTATTTGCAAGTGCTATTGAAGTGGTGAATTAATGCATGAATGAATGAATGAATGAATGATAATATTGCAGATATACCACAATTGAATGTATTGTTTTGTTGCTAAATTTGTTTAACCCTAGAATGGGCATCTCTATTTTCTGTACTGCCAGGCCAATTTCTTAAGAAATGTAGACATTTTTCCAAATGATTCTGATTTCTGTAATTTTTATTTTACACAAATGTTTGCTACACCATTTTGAAGTTCTGAGTTACATGTAAACTTTTCAATAAAGTGAACCCAAAAACTATTTTTAAAAATATTTATGCATTGCTAAGTACTGCTTTCCTGGTTTTCTTTGCCTGGAAATCACAAACATGGGTGTCGCCATTCCTATAATATATGATTTCTCCAACAGTTGTCAGTATTCAAATGGTAACCCCTGTTGAAGAACCCACATTCATCTTCTAGATTCATCACCATTTTATGCCATATATGCTATATTTTTGGCAGAAAAATATACACTAGACAATTCTGTATGGAAAATGTAGCCTGTATTGCCTTTCCATAATTTGAATTTCATGAACCAAAAACAGCAGTGCTGGGTGTGTTGAATATAAGCAGTTTTATTCTTAATTCCTATCGGAGATTCAGTGAAAAATATTGACTGATGGGGAATGTACAAATATTTCCATGGCCTGTTTAACAAGCTGGACTTTGTGACATGGATCATATTCATATTCATATTTTGGTGCAGCTGTGCTGGTATAATTTAATTGAAGAGCCAAGTTAATTGTGTAAAATTCATTCCTGAACATAACTGCAGAGAAATATGGGTGTTGCTGAGAAAACCGTGGAACCAGATGTTTTTGTAGGTCCTTTGGGATCCTGATCAGTATTCAGCAGCACATCAAACGAACGTTTTATTTTCTCTTCATTGATAGCCTTGAAATTTTTTAGTCTGCAGTGTATAGATGATCCTTGACAAATATTTCATTGTAATATTTTTAAGAGATTTAGCATATCTGCTTGTGCTTGTGCTATCATGAAATTTAACTGTACTGAGGGGAAAGTAGAAGATAATGTATTGGCCTTGAATTCTTTTGTAAATTGTCCTGGAAGCCTCATCTCCTAGATCTAGGTATGTGACACAGTAATTAATTTACATTGAAATTGATGTTTTTCAGTTATGAGTTAAAGAACTGATAGAAACACTGTCATTATTATTGTTACATAGTTGAATAACTTGGCTTGTGTTGTCTCCATTTCTTTCAATGACTACTCTCTTCATCATCGAAGTCACTCAGCTCCCTTCCTTCGTTCAATAAATCTTTAGTTTACTTTCTTATTATAATTAATAACATGAGGACTGCATGCCGTTCTTCCATGCTGGCAGGATGCATTGTTTTTTAACAAGAAAGATTTTAACTGACATGTTTGACGGTTTCAGTGCTGGTGTTAACAATACTGTGTAAACAGTCAAATAATTTGACCTCTGGGAGACTTGGGGTTGGATTAACAGAGACATATATGAAGAAAGCCGTCTTCTGGGATGTGGCGCCATGTAGATTTTGTATTAACCGACATTTCGGAAGAACGTATCGCCTCCATCTTCAGGGTAGAAGAAAAGAGAAGAAAAATCTGTGAGCAAGGAACCAGTGTGAGGAGATGCTGACAGACTAATGTTGAGTCAACCACTGGTTCCTCTCTTGTGGACTTTTCTTCTTTTTTCTTCTACCCTGAAGATGGAGGCGATACGTTCCTCCGAAACGTCGGTTAATACAATATCTACACAGCGCCACATACCAAAAGACAGCTTTCTTCATAGTCACCGCCATGAAAACCTCAGATCTTACAGATTAGATTAGATTAGATTTACTGAGATAGATTTTATGCTATTGATGGAGATGTGAATCCAAGCAGTCTTATGTAATATCTTTGGTAATAATACACATGTAATGACCACTTAGATTACACTGAGTGTACAATCTTGCAGATGTTTTGACGCAGGTTGTATTGGTTCATTGGTTTCAGGAATGTACAATGGGTGGTAACTTTGTAGTTGTGCAATAGAGCATTTAGACACAATTGTACTGAAGTCTGTACACCCTATTAATACCTGGATGTCTGTTTTGAAGAAAATCATCTAGAGTTTTATAAAATAATTCACATTCTGTGATAAATATTAACTAAATTTCACATGCTCAATCCAAATTGGCCCACACGTAATAGTTGCTGATTATGAAAACAAGACAATGTTCATCTTTTGTGATCTGCTGTACTTTTAGAATAATATACAAAATCATGATGTGTCAGAAGTTTTTGCTGTATGCTTAAAAATGTGTTGCTATAGTACCATGCTCAGAAACATAAACATGAATAAAACTTTCTTACTTTGTAACCAGCCAAATGCCAGTTCAAAGATGAAGCCCCCAACTTATAGACTGGTGATGTGATAATATGCTCCCTTATGGACAGTTATAGATGATTGTGGACCAATGGTAGAGTGACAATTAACAGGAGAAAACTGAAGAAAGTTAGAGAGAAACCTACTGTAATGTCACTTTGTCGATTACAAATCTCACATGAAGTCACCCATTATTGAACCTAGGCCTCTTGTGTGAGATGACAGTGTCTTACCACCTGAAATATGGCACAACCATTTTAGATAGATATTTCACAGAAGTTAATGTGGATCTGTGAGTAGTTATGGGTTACATTAAAGTGTGTTGTTGATCACAGAAACATTGTTACAGTGGAGCTGGTGATCTTCTGAGCTATGACATCATGCTGTTTGCTATGCGGTATCATCTACCAAAGTACCTGATGTCATAACACAAAAGATTGCAATCTTTGGTAGTTCACTGCAATGAACACATCAGATCTCATTGTTGCAATGCTTTCCAGCTTCTGTAGCTTTATGCCAAAGGGGTATGAGGTGACTCGTATAATGTATGAAGTGAGCTGTTTCAATAATGTAAATTAATTTGTTTGAGTGATGGACATACATTAATACAGTTTTAGTGAAACAAAATAATATAGTAGCTAAAAATGGATCCCTAATATATTTAGAGAAATATTAGAATTTACTATTTCTGTTTAACAGTTATTTTGTGTTGAAGTTCTGCAGTAAACCTGTCATTGATGATTTCTTTTCCCTGATTCTGTTCTCTACAGATATTTCATATGATTTTGTATACAGTATCCTATGTGTAGTTGTAGGTTGTATGTAAGGTAAGTCAATAAATAAGTTACAAATGGATATAGAACTTAAACAAATAAGAGTACTGATTTGAAAAATGCTTTTATTTCTCAACATAATCTCCGTGTACATTGAGGCACTTGTCCCATCATTTCACAAGCCCCTGAAAACCAGCAGCATAAAATTCTTTGGGTTGCTGTCGAAACCAGGCGGTGACTTCCCTTTCTACAGTTTCATTGTCGGGAAAATGTTCAGTCAAAAGATGATGTTTAAGAGGGAAGTCACTTGGAGCAAGGTTGGGGCTATATGAGGATGCTCGAGGACTTCCCACTTGAAATTTCGCAACGTCTCATTTGTCTTGTTGGCAGTATGGGGACGTGCGTTGTCATGGAAGAGCAACATGCCTTTGGTGAGGAGTCCTTACGAAGTTTCCTGAGGATATTACAGTAGGAGTCGGCATTTACAGCATTTGTTCAGCTCTCTTAAACATCATCTTTTGGCTAAACATTTTCCCGACGATGAAGCTGTAGAAAGGGAAGTCACCGCCTGGTTTCGACAGCAACCCAAAGAATTTTATGCTGCTGGTTTTCAGGGGCTTGTGAAATGATGGGACAAGTGCCTCAATATACAGGGAGATTATGTTGAGAAATAAAAGCATTTTTGAAATCAGTACTCTTATTTGTTTAAGTTCTATATCCATTTGTAACTTACTTATTGACTTACCCTCGTACATTCTTTGCATAATGTGCTTAGTCTGAACACATGTAGGGAAAATTCTGTGCATCCATTCATCCACATTGTCACTACAGAAACATTGTACAAATTTTATGAAATTTGACATTAGCGGTCCATAACAAAATGTTGTAGGTCTATTTTGATATCCATAAAGACTGATATCACAAAAATATACTTTGAGAAGAGAGCTTTATGCAAAAACACTTGGGGAAACTCTGTGTACTTCAGTACACGTTGCACCTATCCAGTCTTCGACATTTTTCGTCTCTTGTGTAAAATGAAGTAAGAAACACTTTTCTCGATAGACATGCAAAATATGTATTTTTAATATGTGCTAATCCATTACCTGTGTGCAGTAAAGGTAAAGAAAGGTTAAGTTTTCCATATGCTTAAAGCACAATGCCCTAATGGGCATATGGGGGTCTGCAAATAAACCTTCACCACATTCTTCTCTTTGTCACTGGAAGTGAGTGGTCAATTTTGGGAAAATAGATGAGCGTGAGAGTAAGTCTGAATGTTTTAAATAGTCCTAACAGTTCTGCCCAGGATTGGGCTCTGACCATGTAGTCCATAGCATGTCACTTTTCTGACCTAGGTGTTACAAATCATAGCATTTTACAGTATAGTACATGAATTCTGATTCAAAGGATTCATTATTAGATTGCGTAATGAGGGTGGATGAGCTGCTGATTCTTGTTTGTTTGTTTGTGTGTGTATTGGAGAGGGGAAGGGAATTAAGGTGCATTAGGATGAAATCAAGGGCTATTTTCACTTAAGTAAAATTCAGGTTAGTTTTGTTACCTAGCCAGGGGTGAAATTTAATGAGATTTTGTGTATGCCAAACTCTAAATGGGATTAATTTATTTACATGTGAGAGGAATTTTGATAAATTTGAAGAGTTTATTGTTGTGGCCTACATTAAGTTATGCCGTTGTTTCTCAGAGGGAGTGAGGGAAATTACATGGAACTTCCCTCACAGTAGTAAGCCTTTGTTTGGTTTAGAGTTAGGTATAGGTATAATTTTCTACAACTAATCTTCTGTTAGAGTTGTACAGCCCTTTCACTAAACCAAATGAACTTTGCCTTTCTGAATCTACAAATCTCCATGAGAATGATAATTTCAGATAGGCTTGTGTGAAGCTTGTGACCTTTCTAAAAATGTAAACATATTTAATATTATTACTGACATGTTACATAAGGCAAAACTTCAGCTCCCATTAAGAAGAATACTTGTATTTTCAACAGGATAACATATTGTAAGTTTAAAATACTACTGTGTATAAAGTCCTTATATATTCTCTTGAAGATGGAACTTACTAAGATATTTAGTCATTGTTACATTGTTACAGAGTGCAAGTGTCTTAACAGATTCGTTACAAAGCCAATACTATGTGTATTGTACAGAATGTTTATGATTTATAATGGTGCTCATTAGTGTAGAATAATTTGAAGTTTTTTCGTCAAAGTACTAATTTGAAAGAGGCAAATACTGGATCACCTGGATTAAAGAAGGGACAGAAAGGACTAATAATAGAACGCAGTTCAAAATTCTTTAGTTTTAAAAAGTAATTATAGAGAACATCTGTTGTATATTACATTACACTTCTCTAATGGTCCCAGTCTTCTTGGCTGTTGTGATCATCCTGTTTTCCCTTATAGTTGATTGGTGCCGCTCGTAAAGAGACCAATGACCTTACTGCAGTATCCATTTTTGCGTGACATATCCATCCACTTTTGTATTCCTAGGCAGTTGACTGTACTTGCTTATTTTCTAACTACTCTTTAAAAGGTTTTGTTGTCCACGGTTTCAGACTTTTAAAATCTGTGCAGTTAATGTGTGTCCCATATCTATCAACTTTAAACTTGGGAAATTTCTGCAGGTCCACATTTTCACTCATTTCACTGACTTGACAAACCATGTTTTATTCTCCCAGATAGTTGGTATCATATTTTCTTTGGTTTTATTGACATAAACGCCTTTTGTTTTATTCTCCAAAACAAATTCAGAATTACTGGGTTTTTGGACTTTGTTCATTGTCCAGTATTGTAGTATCTACTCCTAAAGCCCAGTAATTCTAGGTATTATACACCACCTTCAGAACATTTTAGAATCTACCTAGTATCAAGATTTGAAGTCAGTTAGTCTCAAAATCTGCTTTTACAGATGTATTCAATTTGGGTTTTGTTTTAATCATAACATTTTATTCTGTCACTTGGCATATTGTGCTAGAGCACAGTACTTAAAAGTAGCTACCTTAAAAGTAGAAACCCATTGCAAGACAGTGATAAACTTTGAGTGCTCTAACTTAGGCTGCAACCTAGGGGAAGGTACTGGAATTTTACTTGAGAAATGCAACAGAGACTACAAAGTTCATAGAATAAATTAAACATGAAAATACAATAACAAGTTTTTCCAGTTCAAGCTCATGTTTTTTGAAAGTTGTTGGGCCTTCCATTAGTACAGCTGGTAGAAAATTCTTCCTTAATAAATAAATTCATTGTATTACAAACAATATTAACTGAAGCAGATGTCAAATGTGTTGAAGAGTCAAGAGCAAGGGGGGGAAAAAAGATACATTTTCATGGTACACCGATCAATGTCCAAAACAATCTTCTGATAAGTTCCATTCTTGCACAAGTTGAATCAGA